CACTTTGGGGCTCTTGGGTCTCAGTGTAAATCCTGTTCCTCTTCTGCCATGGTGGTGGCCTGCTCAGACCAGTTCAGTCTGAACCCAGACTGACCTCCTTGTCACGTGTGCTCTGGAAGTTCATCCTAGGATTGCTTTCTGTCCCTTCAGGACCTGCTGCTGTGCTCATCTGCTAAGCAGCTGGCAAGTGCTTAGCTGGATTCTCCAGCTGAAAACCACTTTTCCCTATTTCCTTTCCATTTGCCTGCAGAGATGTTGTGTTTTGATAACTTGTTCCTCATTCTAGCCTGAGCTGTGCCAGACTGCTCTGTGCTTGCTGAGCATTTGTGAATAGTCTCTGGACTTAAGTCCTAAACCTGAAGAATTTGTCTGCCAGTGCTTCCACACTTCACAAGGTAGATGAAGACTTCTTTTGGTGTGAAATTCTTTCTGCTGTTTCTGAACAACAGGCCAAGACCTTCACACAGTCCATGGAAATGCTGGTTACGTGGGCTCTTCTCCCCCATTTGCCATGTTCTGGCCATCCTCCCATTTTGCATTCTTCAATCTGACCCCCTAGTGTATTTTGTGTCTGTTAGAGTTGTAGTCACTTGGTAAGGCTTTGATTCTGGCAGTGTTTGGATATTGGGCATATCTGGGTGGAAGATGTCATTTGTTGAAATACTTCTACCCTGAGCTCATTACCCTCTTTTTCTGAAGGGCTAAATCCATTTTGGAATTCAGTAGGCAGCTAAAATCTACTATAGTTGAACACTGCCCAGCTGTGTCATAAGCTTAGCAGGAACCTGGAATGACACTGGAGAAGTTTTTTACTGACAGTGGCTCCCACAAACTTCCTAAGCTTTGTGAAACCTTTGTGGTGATGTTCCAGAGTTATGTAGTGGTGTCCTCTCCTTGCCACTGAACACTGTTAACTGTACTGTTTTCCCAGTAACTTTAGCTTTTGTTGGCAAGTTTTATCCACCTGCATTCTCTCAGTACCAGGGTATTCTCATTTGAATCTTTCCTCAAGGTGGGTCCTCAGCTGATGGTACCTGATGCAGGTAGGAATGAGCAGGGTCCCTGGACTGCAGTTGTGCTGCAAGTGAGTAGAGTGACAGGTTCCACTCATGGCATAAAGGCTAACAAAGATCTCTCAGGAGGAAAACACAGAAATAAGTGGCCAGATATGCAAGTCAAGCATATATTTTTCCATACTGGCTGTGCAGATTCATTTAATAGAGAATCCTGCCTCAGAACAGCACTGCTGCCTTGACAGGAATTTCTGCTCTGATGCATTTATTTTGCTGCAAGCTTCAATCTGAAATGTCAGCCTCAGTATTTGAACTTCTGCCCTTTTAGAAGCAGGGTCTTGCACTAATAACTTGGAACCACAGTAGTAATGTTTCTTGCCCCTTGTCTCAGAACACTGCTCTTTGGATGAGAGGAAAAGAGTTTAGGCCTTAAAAGCACCATAACAATGTTAAGGAGAATTAGCATGTCCATCAGTACTACAGTTTACTGTCTCTTTACATGAGCATCTTGATTGGAGAGGCTTTGCCTATTGGCTGCTGTCTTGCTCTTTGTTGTTAAAAAAATAACAATCTGAATTGCATCCTATAGGGAGATAGTTTAATTCCAGTGTAGACTGAAAATATTTTTATTCCTGAACTCACAAAGTTATGCACATTGTTGGGGTGCTCTGTGAATACTGATGGTGTGTAATTGCTTCTTTGGTTTGGTTTTAACTATTGAGAATTCCTCATCTGGGAGAGGTAGGAGACAGCCTGAGAAGCTGAGTGATTATTTCATGGTCTGCAGTTCTGTTCAGTGGAAAACTTCAGCTTTTTGCAGTTTGCAAGCAAGGGGTGAAGACCTAGATACATAAGGTACTAATCTTGCAAGCAGGGAAGCAAACAGCACAAGGGATGGAGCATCTGGGAAAAGATCAAACAAGATGAGAATCTGTTCAGTTGGAGGCAGAGAGGCCACCTGCAGGCAGTTTCCTCTGACAGCCAAGAATGCCTGGAATGGGCTTTAGGTTCTGGTTTCTAAGTTGGAACAACTTATTGTTCAGCTTTGATGCTGGAATTTGATTTTTGTCATGTCTGGAGGAACCAGACTGGTCTGATAGGTGTCAGGTGGAAACAAGATTGACAGTTGGTTGTTTTTGACAGTGTCTTTGTTGACAGGCTGAGCTCAGTGTGATGAAACTGGAGTGAAACCCAGAACTCAATAATGGGCATGCTGGTTCCTGTGTAGGTCTCATGCATAAATTCATTCTGATTTGGAAGGCAAAATGGGCCACTCCTTTTTCAGTCATCCAGGGGACTGTGGATTTTCTTTTGGTGTACTTGACCCTGTGAATTGCTCAAGAGAAACCTGCCATCTCCCATTTGGCAGAATCATGGCTTGTCCATTGTTTATTTACTGCTGGTCCCAGACATTTTCACTAGGGCTGTACAAGGAACAAGACTTTGGACTTTGCCTGGGCCCTGCCCTAGGCTTTCGTGTCCTTCCAGAGGAAGGTGTTTAAGCTCCGTGGTTCCTGACCTGTGACTGTCAGGGCTGAAAAGCAGTGCCCAGGAACCTGAGCTGGGTGTGTGGCCACCCACAACCTCCCGGGGACGTGGTGCTGGACTGCAGCTCTTCACAACCAAGGCCTGCCTTGATCTGGCTTGCTGGCCCTCAGACCATCCACCCTGCTGGGGAATGCAGCCTCTCCATTAACTGAAGATAGCTCCTGTTCTGACTTCAGCACAGAGCTGTGATCTGCAGAGATCTATAGTCCTTCTGACCATTCTCCTTCATCACTACAGAACTCAACAGATGCTCTTGTCTTATTGCTGCTCTCTGCAGGCAGGACCTTTTGTCTCCCAGATGGGGACATACAAGTGGCTCAAGATCGCTGGGAAGAGTCACAATAGTCCATATTCCCTGCCCAGGACTTTGTAGCCTGCACCTTTGTTTTATGGACCACTTTATGTGCATTAGACCCAGCCCTAAAGCTCACAGCAAGCTACCAAGAAACTCCAGGCTAGGCAGAGAGTGGGCTACTGTGGGATATGCAATGTGCTGTTGGTGTTGTGGCCTGGCTGTGACTGTATCTGGTTGTTCCAGATGAACCTTGCATCACTCTCTCTGAGTCCTGCATTCTGGGTCCTGCGTCCTCCCTAACTGCCCCTTACCTCTGCATGTGGATGTCCATGTGATGGCCTATGGCACCCCTCTCCTGGGCTGTACCTGGTGCTGCCTCTGTGCCCCTAGCTTCTGTAGAGATTCTGGCTTGTGTGCATCAGTAAATGCTGTCTCTCGTGCTGTCTGGTGAGTGACTTGAAAATGGAAGTTCCACAGTGAGAATATAAGTGAACAAGTAGCAAAAAAACCTGTCATTCTGCCCAAGATTGTGGTAAAAGAGGATTAGTGACATCTGAATGTCATAATGTATGTGAGTTCTTTGGTTGCCATTTGCAGCATCCAGTGATCATTTGTTGCTAATGGAGAGTGTGCCCAGAAACCTCAGGTTTGCTCTTCCAGGGTTGAGATCTCAGTACAGCACAGCAAGTATAACCAAGTGGCAGCTGAGAGGTGAGACAATGGTTGCATGCTC